TTCGTGCACATTCGCTCTGCAGATCATAGACATTCAGCTCTCTAGTGGTTCGGGAACGCCTGGGACCGCCAAGCTGAGGCTGCGGCCTTGAGCAAGCCGGACCTGATGCCAGCCCCACCGTGGGGACAGCGCCCCCGCGAGTCCCGGCCACTCTGCAAAGCAGAGACGCGACTCCTGCCACCTCCACCGGGCTGGGGCGATGTGGTTGAAGGACAGGCCCCAGTGCGCCCACTAGGTGGGGGCAGGTAGTGGGGCCACGCTGCCTGGGGGAGGCCCGGCCCGCACCTCCATGCCGGGGCCCCAGGGCCCAGAGGGCAGCCCACGTGGGCAGCAGGCCAGAGAGCAAGCAGGAGGGTGCGGTCTGGAAAAGGAGGCGAGCAAGTCCCTCGACGGCATATTGCCAGCCCTCCCATGTTGCGAAAGAAGACACGGCACACACCCCCGAGGGGTCTCCCTGCGGGATGAGTGGGCACCCGCAGCAAGATCCCCGACAGCCCTGTGCGGGTGAGGCCAGGGTCTCCGCGTCCGGCCTCCTGGGGGTGCCAGTGTGCCCCTGGCTCCGACATCCGCCCGGATGCGGGCAGCACAGTCACTAGACTGATTGTGGGGCCCGGCAGAGGGGCCCCCCAAAGGTGAGGTGTGGACACACTCGCCCACAGCCCGGCTTCCTGCCCACCCAAGGCCTGGGGTGGAGAAGAGGGGGTCGGTCCGTTCTTGCCCCAGAACCTGTCCAGGGGCAAGTTCCTCTGCCCAGAAAATTCTTGGAGGCGCCTGGGAACCAGCGCAGCTGGGCCTTTGCCAGCTGGGGCTTGGAGAGGCAGAGTGGGCCCCTCCGGAGGCAGCAGCTGAGCGTCTCCGCTGTGGGAGACGGAGGAGCAGGCCCCCAGCGTCAGGTTAGGGGCTCCTGGGTGTCTGTTCTGGAAGGCAGCAATGACTGTGATATGTGGGCACACCGTGTCCATTTTGGGGGGCATCTGGTGCCAAGCATTACCTCCTCATGCCCTTTTTGTCCAGGGAAGCCTGAACCCCTCGGGGAGAGGGACCAGACCGCAGATAGGCCGCTTGGCCCAGTGGGGTACATGGGGCCCGCCTGGCAGAACTCGGGCCCCCAGGGCCTGCGGGACCCGGTGTCTGAGCACAGCCCCGCCCAGCCCACCCGCTCTTCTCCTGCGGACCCCGCCTCTTCCTTGCCCCCCTCTCTTCTTCCACAAACGTCCTGTCCCTATTGATCACTTGTAACTGGAGATGGACGGAACTCAGGACAAGAATAGAAACAGCGAGAACCGAGAGGGCTCTGGACAGGAGGAGGAGGCCAGAGAAGGCCGGAGACGCCCCCAGCCCCTTCCCGTCTCTTCCACCGGGCGGCCCAGCCGTTCTGCAGGGGCAGGGCGGCAAGGGGTGTGTTGCCGGGGTTCCCCATCTGCTCCACACGGGGGGTGGGGGGGGACAGGCAGGGGATTCCTCCTTTGGCCAGTGACCGTCGGTGCGGGCTGTCCCTGCCTTCCCATGCCCCCCCGCCCCCCATCTTCCTGGGGGTCGCTGTTCCCAGCTCCCGGCCAAGCACACTAGGGGCAAGAAAGCAGCGGGCTTGGAGAGCGGGGACGGCCGGCGGGGGCGGC